ATCGCGTTGAATATCGCGTTTTTCACATGGAGTATTACGCCACTTCACGTAAAACAGATAAAACTCAAATATATGCTCCAACGAATGAAAATAAAATGAAAAATATTTCCGCCAAAAAAATAATTTTTTCGTTACTTTTCCTGAGATTTGAGAAAATTACAAAATGAATAGTGCGATAATTTTATACTAATACAATTTCAGAAAATTTGTAAAATATTCCCCAAAAAAAATAATTTCCAAAAACCAGAAAAAAATTTTAAAATAATGGAGTTTCACAACCCGTTTTACGTGAAGTGGCGTCGTAAAACTCGGTGAAAAACGCGATATTCGCGGTGATATGCAGTAGTCGTGAAATATGTTTTTTATATCACTAGGGTGAAGAAACTCCACTGTATTAATATACGCCTATAGATGATTATATGAAAATCTCGGGAAATTTTCTACCATAATTTTTTCAAAACCCCTCCGTATCGATTCTTACCAGCTTTTCAATTTCCTATCTTTTGGCAAGAACTCCGTCAACAGCAATTCCTTCATCGCATCGATTCCGACTTGAACCTCGCGAGCTGCCTTTTTACTGCACATTGCGAGTAAAATTCTCAGTTGTGGTAACGCCAAAACGGGACAGAATTGTGACAGTGTCACCAGCGCTGTCACCCTATCAGAAAGCGTTCCCACTCGAACCGTTTTCCTCAGCCACGACTGTTCGGAATCTTTTCTCATTAGCGATTCGAATCTCGCCAAAGTTGAGTTGTAAATTTCCTCCGCTTCGCTGTGAAGTTCCTCAATATTTACATCAGAAGTTTCTTTACTCTTCAAAGCTCGTTTTTGTACAGCTATATTAAACCATTTGGAACCTATAGAAGAACAAAAAAAACGTCACGCGCCACAAAATTATATCGTAAAATGGAATAAAAAACGTCACGCGCCACAAAATTATATCGTAAAATTGAATAAAACCACGCGTAACAAAAACTAAATTGGATAAAAATTGTCACGCGCCACAAAATAATATCATAAAATCGAGTAAAAAACGTCACGCGCCACAAAATTATATCAGAAAATTGATGAAAAACGTCGCGCGCCACAAAATTATATCATAAAATCGAGTAAAAAACGTCACGCGCCACAAAATTAAGTCCAATCGATTCCTTACCAGCCAACGATTTGATATCCGCCGGTTCGACAGTCTCCTTGTGAACTTCCAATTTGATCTCTTCTTGCTTGGATTCTGAAGAAAGATTCTTTCCGTGCCCCTCAGCAAAGATTCAAATTAGGTCCAAAAATGGCCATTTAAGAATCTTATCCTGCTACCGATGAATTAAAATCTGTATTTTCAGCCCAACAAAAAAATCCGCAGAAATTTATTGAATATTTTTCGTATTCTTCCAAATCGGGATTTTATACATATAAAACCATTAGAGTTTCACGACTATCCGTTTTACTACGTGAAGTGGCGTAATACTCCATGTGAAAAACGCGATATGAAGTGGCGAACTACACCGGAGAAATCACGTAAAAACACATACAAAGTGTTTTACGCGTTATTCACTGCTCATATAAGTTTCAAAAATAAAATATGTGAATATTCCAACCTATCAATATACATAGTTATCAATAAAATATTATTATAATGAAGTTTCTTCACCACCCTAGTGATATGAAAAACATATTTCACGACTACTGCATATCACCGCGAATATCGCGTTTTTCACGTCGAGTTTTACGATGCCACTTCACGTCGTAAAACGGGTGAAACTCCAATATTGTTATAACCTTTATATATAGTTAACATAATCATATAATTACAGTTTCACGACGACCCGTTTTACGTGAAGTGGCGTCGTAAAACTCCGTGAAAAACGCGATATTTGGGCCTTGCAGTAGCCGTAAAATATGTTGTTCGCTAGTATTTTTCATATCACTAGGGTGAAGAAACTCCATTATAATCTACTACTACTATTACTAGGCTGGTGGCTCGCTGCCATTTTCTCTTCACTTCGTCTCGCCTTAGCTTCCTCAGGAGGTAAGTTAGCCAACTGCTGTTTATGTTGTCGACGCTTAGCCGCGCGGATAGCGGGGTTATCTGAAAAATTTAACCCAATGACGACCCAGGTTCAAGCCTCAGCCAATGCATTTCTTTTCAAAATTTTTCATAATTTTATTACGAGTAACATAAAATTCAGCAGCAACTCCCCAGTGGGAAAACGTATATAAAATATTACTTTTAAAAATACTAAAATGATCTAAAACGAAGTGATCAAAGTCTTTGCTAGGAGTCGTAAATTTCAAAGATATGATGTTTTCTTATCTACGCCTGATAGAGCAGCTTCTAATCGCAAAAATACAACTTTCCTTATCAAAATTTTGGTGTGAATTTTTGCCGAAAAAATATTTAATGCTAAACTCTATATGCACATATCTATCTGTGGTCGTTGACAATGATGCAAATATTGACTAAAAATTATGAATTCTCGTATGTGAATTTTTATAAGTTGCAGCTGAGGAGAGCAAACATATATTCCTACTCTAACAGTCTTCTATTACGATTAATTTCGAGAACTCAATAAAAAAGATTTCAATAGAGTTTCATAATCCGTTTTACGTAGAGTGTCGTAAAACTCCATGTGAAAAACGCGATATTCGCGGTGATATGCAGTAGTCGTGAAATATAATTTTCACTATCACTAGGGTGGTGAAACTCCAACAGATTTACAGCTAAGAAACCATCTATTGGTGAAATGTAATAACGTACTCATTGTAAGAGGAAAATATGTACATGGTCAACTGCATGCGTTGGTGATGACAATGTGAAAAATTTGGAAGGAAATTTTGACAATTTCTTGTCGGTTTCTGTTGAGTTTAGTATCGTCAACTAGTTATAGACGCTTACAGAACACAAGGAGAAATTTCCAACACATGTCGTAGTAGTAGATTATTTTCCATTACTCTCCCATTTTTCTTCATCAGAAATTTTGGTAAAGGCTTACAGATGTAGTTGTTAACTATGCATATTTCTATCATGTACATATTTTTTCATTTTTTCATCAAAAATAAACTCCCCATCTGTTGAGGTTAGTTTTAAAGTAATTATAAAAGTACATAATTCCCATTTTTTCATCAGAAATACCCTCCCCCTCTGTTGAGATTAGTTTCAAACTAATTATATAAGTACATAATTCCCATTTTTTCATCAGAAATAACCTCTCCTTCCGTTGAGTTTAGTTTTAAACTAATTATATAAGTACATAATTCCCATTTTTTCATCACAAATAACTCCCCTTCCGTTGAGTTTAGTTTTAAACTAATTATATAAGTACATAATTCCCATTTTTTCATCACAAATAACTCCCCTTCCGTTGAGTTTAGTTTTTAAACTAATTATATAAGTACATAATTCCCATTTTTTCATCAAAAATACCCCCCCCCCCCTCTACTACTCCATCTCCCCTTGCCACCCTTAGCATTCAACTTAGCCGTTTTGAAGGAAGGCTTCTCAGGCCCCTTGGGCTTGCCCTTGAACGAGGTGGAGCTCTGACGTTTACCCCCTACCATTTTAGTCTAGCTATGAGAAGGTGACGGCGTTTATGAGGAAAATGTGAAACATGAATCGCTTCGCTCCGCTAGAAGAATATCTCGCTGCGCCCGAAAATATCTTGAAGTCTCTTCATCGTGGATTATGTTGTACAATTTTATTGAATATATTTATATAACACATTAGAATTTAATATAGTGGAGTTTCTTCACCACCCTAGTGATATGAAAAACACTAGTGAAAAATATATTTCACGACTACTGCATATCACCGCGTTGAATATCGCGTTTTTCACGCCGAGTTTCACGACGCCACTTAACGTAACTGTTTTATATATTATTGATTTTTGGTATGGTAGAGGTCCAATGTATATGCATAGATATTATGTTGATCGATCATTACGAGATAGCTATAGTCTCAAGGCTCCCCTTTTCCATACTTTAGCTAACTCGTTAGTTAGCTCTGTTGTTCCCTATTCCCAGGGGTCGTCGTCTAACCAGGTGAGTGGTGAAGTAGAGAGGGATAATCTTAATCATCCCACTGGGCTCAGCCGATTAAAGTGCTCTCATTTCCGAGTCCAAGTTGTCGGAAAATTGACTTTTCCGATGGGTCGCACTTTAATTTGTGGACTCTCGGAATGGGATTTCCGAGAGTCGGCACTTCAATCGGCTCTGAGCTCAGCCTGTGAATAGTCATAACATGGTGAGGAAACTCCCCCGAGCTCAGCAACCGCAAAACATATAAAACGACAACTCGTGATAGTCATCTCAGATTTTTCAGCTAACTGGGTTTCTTGTGAAATGCAGTAGTAGAAATTGTTTAAAATTGGGTATTCGAAACTGTAACAGCCATGTTTGATAGATTTATAATATAATATTTTTTTCCCGAGCAGCACTCGTTTTCACCAGTATAGGAGTATGGCCGCGAACTCAGCAGCTTATCCGAAATGAGCGGCTAAGCCCAGATATATGCTCTGAATATAATATTTACTTGCTAAATACAATAGATTTATATCATATTGTATAGTAATATAATATCTTTTTAATAGTAATATACCTAGCCGTCTGCGGGCTCAGACATCAGTGATTGAGCCTGAAGCTATACCTCTATACTGGCTATTACTCGCCTCGTCGAAGAAGAAGAATAATAATATAGCTAGCTAGTAATGATACTGCAGAAAAAGTGAATAACACACATATTGATAGCATATGAGTTTTTCAGTTTTAATCTTAAGTTCTCCAATGCAAGATTCAAAGCAGGCCCGATCGAGTACCACACCACGAGAAGCTGAGGAAGGCGTTGTGAATATTATGACCTTTAATACGTGGTTAATACCGGTAGTGACTTTGGGGAAAATTTAGTTATTTTAGTATCAATTGAAATTTAATTTTTTGGGAAAGTTATGGTTGAAATTTCTTGATATTTCTGGTAAATTGTATTATTCATATCTATGAATGATCACATAATCTGGCAAATGAGCATTGACTTCATCGTGTATGACGTGTGAAATGTAAATGCCGATTCACCAGAAGAGTGGTTGTAATAAATCTACATATATATAATAAATATACATATGCTCATAAAGTTAATAATAAATGGTAGAAATACATCTATAAAGAAAATATAATCACGTTATATTTATTACCATATTAAATATTATGTTATTGTTAATATTTATTATTTTATTTTTGCGTAGCTGTAATGGAGTTTCTTCACCCTAGTGATATGAAAAACAGTAGGGAAAAACATATGTTTTTAAATCGCCACTTCATATCGCGTTTTTCACATGGAGTATCACACCACTTCACGTGAAACTTCGCGTCGTGGAACTTTTATACCACTGGGAGGAAATGCATTATATTTGATTTATATTTCATTCGATGATTTTATGGTAACAGGTTCGAGCGAGATTTCCGGGGTGTCTGGATTCGCGAATTCCGGAGAGAGCTCTTCGGGTTTGTCAGCACATAGAAAAGCAAGCGGCTGCATTTGATTTGGATGTAATAATAGATTGGCGAAGGGTAGTTCTATTTTAGTATTAATATTGGTATGAAATTACATTATTTCGTTATGACGTATTGCGAAGCGAGCAACAACAGGCACTTTCGTGTAGTGTGTGCGTGCAGAATTATACGGGGCTTGGGAGGCCAGCAGATGGATCAAACGACTGTTGGCGCGAAATCTCGATTTTAGAGCGGCTCGAAGAGATATATATGCAGGAAAACATTGTTGATGGAAAAATGTCCAACCCGGGGATCGAACCGGGCTGGACATATGTGAAATCCATTGATTGAATCAACGCGGACTGGGCGGGCTCCGCCTCATCGTTACGAAGACCTCGTGCCAATATTGATAATCATGCAGTGAAGTTTCTTCACCCTAGTGATATGAAAAACACTAGTGAAAAACATGTTTCACGACTACTGCATATCACCGCGTTGAATATCGCGTTTTTCGCCGAGTTTTACGACGCCACTTCACGTAAAACGGGTCGTGAAACTGCAGCACGATATTAATATATTATCACCAATAATTGGAAAAATAATGTTTTTCGGAGTGATCGTAATAGAAAGATCGTCGTTCACTGTCGTTTTTGGTTGTGAAATTCTCATCATTCTGTCAAATATGTACGCTGAGCTCCCGTATGAATTTTCTTGTGTGTTTCGGAGAAGTGTGGGGGAAAATTATGCACATGTGAGAATTTTGGTAAATTCTGTTCATTGGTTTCTGTTAACTCCTATCCGGACTCCCTATATGAGTGGGGAAATTGCTGAGATCAGCTGAGGAAAGTGATAACGTAAACTCCTCCTCCAACACTGGTGTCGGATTCAGGTAGCAACATTGCAGGAAGCGTGGACAGGTCGCCAGTCCGCAGTAGCTAGTATGATCAATACTCTATTTTGCGGAAGATTTTTTGCGAGGGGGGAGCTCATAAGATATGTGCAAAATCGTGAGTGGGGATCTGCGGATGTTGTTGGTGTTACGACGAAGTTGTGATTAATTGTCTTCCGACGTGTACAGTTCTTCCGCGCGAACCCGCTTTATGTGAAGTGAAAAACGCGATATTCGCGGTGATATATGTTTTCCACTAGTGTTTTTCATATCACTAGGGTGAAGAAACTGCACTGAAATGGTCGCTCGATGATTGCGGAGTTTTATGACTTTGCAACTCGGGTCAGGTTTTATTCTCCTAATTTCTATAGTTTATTATTATGACGTATACCGTTCATACGCTGTGAGGTCATTAGAATGCAGTTTCTTCACCCTAGTGATGTGAAAAACATATTTCACGACTGCTGCATATCGTTTTTCACAGAGTATTACGCCACTTGAAGAAAAACGGATGAAACTCTCATGATCCGATGGACTTGTTGCGATTTGTGAAAAGTGAAAGCTCAATATGGAAATTTGCAATGATCGTGCAGCTGGGTGTGTTTTTGGAATCCAATCCGCGCTGTTAAAAAATAGCTAATATTAGGGAGGTATTTTTTAAAGGTGTTTTGTGTTCCGTTGGGAATTGGTACATCGTATATATATAAGAAAAAATTAACTTGAAACTCTCATTTTTGAAGAAGTTACGCTTGCACACCTGTTCCACCTCCTCTCGAGAAGACGTTGACTTGGTAGCGCGATGGAGTTATTCTCAGGTACTCAGTTGAAATATGCAACGAAGGCGTTTGGGACGTACTTGTGCGAGTGTTCTGCACCGACGAAGTTCTTAGATTCGGGATTAGTTATTATGTCTAGATGGCCGATACTTCTGGAGAAGTAGGGCTTTGATGGGGTTGTAGTAGTCGAGTATGTTAGGGTATTGGTTTCGTATCCCCTAGGATTCCGGTTCGATCCTCGGTGGGGTCATTTTGTATTTCAGATTTTCTCGATTCTCTGTTGCTACTGGAGAGGATGCTTTGGCTTCTAAGGGGGCCCTTGGGGTTGTTCTTGACCGCGGAAAAGATGTAATACCTCCTTGGTCGTGATCGAGGAAGCAACTCAGTTTATTCCACTTGTTGTTGGAATGTAATTCATTATTATTTCGAACGGACTTTTCTTCTGCCTTCAAACACACTGAGTGTATCAAGCACTAAAATCCCAGGCTTCCATCCGCGACTTAGCGTAACAATGGGGAAAAGAGCTCGAGTCGCGAATCGATCTGTCAGGGAGGAAACGTTCTTACCAGGCAAGCGTACTTATTATCATATATTCAACCCTACACTCGTGTTGAGATCCACCTGTCCATCTTCCTGGGAAAGAGGGAGACGGGGTCAAAGGTATCCCAACCGTCCCTCTCCCCTCACCTGGGCCTGATTGATGATAAACATCAATACGGTGCTCTCCCGAATTTTCATCTATATTGGTTCATTAAGCTTAATATAGGGTATAGTGTATTGGTATTCGAGTAGAATGGACGTCGTAGTGTTATTATTCGATAGTAATTAAAAATTTGATTTTCGTGTGTTACTGACTTTTACATGTGAGTGCGTATCGAGTTTCTATCCTCGTTCGGATGGGTCAGTGTGAAAATATATGCAAATGGTCAACATCATGTGTTGGTGATGACAATATGAAAATTCTGAGAGGAAATTTCGGCGGAATCGTTGTAAACCTCTGTAATTAGTGAGGAAGTTCCTCAGGAGCTCAGCTGAGGAGAGCGAGCATATTATTCCAGTACTGTGATGGGTGAACGATTTTGGTTATTTTTATATGTAGGTGGTCATTGTGGTAACCACACATCTCGATGCTGGTCATGATCCTGATGTCAAGTTAGCTCAATTGGTAATGGATTGTGAAACGACGATTATGGGTGAAATTGTCCCGAATTCGGAATTTTTCTCTCAGAAAGTTGTCGTCGATGTTGTGGCCTTCCTCGAGAAGGAGTGCTCATCGAGGGGACTTCATGTGGCTGCAGCAGCTATGACTGGCGATTGGAACATTGATGGCACTGGCAGAGATCATGGGGCGCGCGCTAAAGTAGTAGAACAAATGTAAATTAGCAAAATTGTGGTTCAACTACTGTACACCATTCCATTCCGCCAATAGTGAGTTCATAACGTTAAACAAGATTTGTGGTTGAAGAGATTTGTAACACCGCATCAGCGTATAAACTATCTCGGCCCTTGGAATAGTTGAGATGAGTGCGGGAGAAGGGTCTAGTATGGACTTTACTTTTTTATAAGGACAGAGCTTTCGAAATGCATCATAGTAGTAGTAGTAGTAGTAGTAGTAGTAGTAGTAGTAGTAGTAGTAGTAGTAGTAGTACATGGTCAGGCCTTGTCGTCCACCTCCCGTACAGTATGCACTACTTCAAGATCGTCTGATGAGGAGGAAGAAGAAAGCAGTCCCGTCGCCGTGAACCAGAACTCGGGCGTCTACGGAAGAGTCCAGAGTTTCCTGGCTAAGTCGGGCTTCCAGGATGTGTGGCAAATGCACGCTGAAAAGGAAAGTCTTCCTCGTGCGCCGAGTTATGAAGGCGACTGGGGAGAACTCAGTGAAGAAAGCCTGGTGAAGTATGGAGTTACGAGTGACCAGGTTGGTGGAATTTCGTGGCGCGTGACGGAATAATGTCTGGTTAGGACGTCCCATCGTGTCCGAAGCGATTGGATTATCTATGGGTTAAAAGTGGCGCTGAAGGTAGGCGTGATATGTCGAAGTTATGGTATGGAGTTGTATGTGAGTGTTTAGATGCAACATCCGAAAGTCGTCCGCCAGCTGAGAGCAGTCTCAGCTCTATCAGTGCTAGCAGTAGCCGGTCGAGATCTCAAGAGGTCCTCAAATTGGCTCATCATTCGGTCATTCGATCTCGCTCGAGCTGATTAGGGGGGGGGTCAATTTATTTTTCTGAATGCAGAGGTGTCCATGTGAGCGGTGATTTGTATGTACTACAGGTTATGATGGTGACGATCGCGCCCGCCCAGTTGTGGCGAGCAGATGTACCTCTGAGAAGTGCATGTGCTAAGGCTATGCTCAGCGGTGATAAGAGGGAAGAACGAGGGTTGAGGAGGCAGATCAATAGTCACAACACGTAAGATGTTCGTCTCTCTTTCATGAGGTCGTGGGTTCGATCCCGGCTGTTTTCATTTTAGCAACCGCACATCTGATCACGCCTCTCTAGTGGGTCGTATCCGCCTTTCGAGAATGGCAGACCCGGTGTCCCCTGCAAGTAATCAACAAGCCAAAGATGACCTCAAGTTGACCGCGCGAGAAGCCGGAAGTTCTCAGTTGGCCGACGTTGACAGTAGCGAGATTGTTGTTAATGTGGGCAATTAGAAGATTATAATTCATTTGTATATTTCATTGCGCCACGAATTTCACGGCATATGTACTGTCAGCTTTTTGTAGAAATGTTGAAAATTAGCAAAATTATGGGAAAATTATCGCTACGCCCGACGAGATGGCGCTGTTTTGTTCAATCAGATGTGTAATTGATTCACCTTATAGTTATTGAAATACTATCACAATCCTGTCTATAACTGTATTACCTCCAACGTCCTGTCTATTGTTGAGTGCTCAATGTGGTTGGGAGTCTCAAAGTATTGATCAATTTCGGCTGCATACACAGCAAGGCCTTCTCCGGATTGTCGAACCTAGAGAGTTGAAAGAGTTGTAGAAAACTAACTACAGAAGGCTAGCTCGAACGGGACAGATCGCTATGAACCGGTATATACAAGACCAAGCTTGTGAATGGTTGGCTAGAGTGCAGCGCACGATTGCCACTAACACATCGAAGCACTGACTGTTTTTGATCTGGAAGTATGAAGACAACGCGCCGGAGGTATGGACGCTCGTTGAGCGTTCACAACTGCCACTGTTGAGCTGTACATTGTTCTCCAATTCTCGCAACCCGGATGACTCTTCTGTTATTCCCCCTTTGAAAATGCCGCAGTTACACGAGAGACTAAGTCTGCTGAACCTCCCTGAGTTGTAGCCAAGTACAAACGGCGCGAACAGAAGATCCATAATTTCGACTGAGATTATGGCATTTTTAAGTTGAGAGTTTTCACTGAAAAATACGATTCACCGCTAAGGAGTGATAGTATAACTGCTCTACAATAGGAAGATGATTCGATGCAATGACACAGGGGGTCCCTCTGTGGACCTTCCTGGGAGTTCAGGACCATAGACTATGTCCTGTTGGAACCGAGTATGAAGCTGATTAAATCAGCCTGATTTCTTTTGCAGTCGTTTTTTGTTCACTTGGAAGTTTCGAGTTTAAGAAAAAAACGATTATAGTTTCGAGTTAAAACTATAATCGATATTTTCCTTATGGGCACTTCAATAATTAGAGTTTAATTCTCGGCGCCGACGTATGGCATAGCTGCCCCATCAGGCAGCATATATTGGGGTGGCATAGCTGCCCCATCAGACGGCATAAATTGGGGTGGCATAGCTGCCCCGGCCATAAATTTGATCTGTGTGGGGAGTAACAGAATAGGCCGCCGCCCAGCCTGCGGCAGGTCTATCAAATACTTCTAAGGCGGCTTGTATGAACTTTCCTCATTAGCCTCGTGATTCCATTTCCGCGACTTTACCATGAAAAAACTAAAGATGAACTTCCCATCGACAGAACCGGTTATAATCTGGCTTATCATAACCGCAGGAATTGTGGCCTTTTGGTTCTCAGCCAGGCCACGAAGATTGGAGTAGAGTAACTTGATATGAAATCGTACGAGTATAAAACAGACATATCTGAACGATGAAGTAGAGATAAACATGAACAGTAGTGAGTTGAGCACTTCAACATCTATGAGACATGGTTCACTGGACGTGAATAAATAATAGAAGAATAATCAACCTAATATATGGTTGTAGTAGTAACTATGAGAAACAATGAATTAGAGAATGTTTCAGAACTTGACAGGACCGGCGTGCCACAACTCCCAATGGTTCTCCCACGTCTTCTTGAACTTCCAGAATCCAACAAAGGCATTAAAGTTGACGTTGGATGCGAACTCCCATTGGTTTGCGATATGTTCAACAGTGTTGCCCTTGATGTCGAGAGACACACCAGCTCCGGCAACTTTGAGGGAAACGCTCGTACCGATCATCCCGTACGCAGATATCTCATTATGAGGCTTAGCCGTGCAGTTAACTTTCGCCTCAATGGTCCAGTTGATGACACTACCCACCGTGGGTAGATTCACATTGAACGATACAGATACACCGGCTTCTCCATGGAAGGTTCGGTTATCGGGCTGAAGTAGAGACTTCCCACCAGCTTTGCCGTAAATACAGACGTTGATCGACAGGCTCACACCTTCGCCGAACTGGAAGACAACAGCACAGCCACCAGCCTCGAACTCGAGATCGAGTACGGCGGCGTCACTGGTCTTCTTGAGACTCACGGACAAGCTCAAATGGGCGGTGATATCAGGATTCAGGACGTCCTTGTAAGTCATTCCTGCTTTGACTGTGATGGACTTGTCGAGAGAGGCATCCACTGAAGCGAACAAGCAATACTTTTTCGTAGCATCAGCAGACTTGCCGCTACTGCATCCCTGGGGGAACTCGAAATTGAGAACTTGCACCAGTTGGCGATGAGCCAAAGCGTGGAAATACAAATCGGCGGCAGAATTCTCCTCAATAGTGAAGTATTTAATGCCCTTAGACATGCCATTTTGACGAAGCGAACGACGCTCACTCATCCAATCCACGAGATCGTTTTCTTCAACGAAAACGCGGGATCTTTCAGGAAGCAGGTCGGGGGCGATATGATCAGTCAAGACCGGAGGACCACTGTTCCCAGCACCTCCACCGAGGTGCCTTCGAGAATCAATACGATAGGTATTGTACATGGCTTCTGTTGCCGAGTCCACGTTGAGGTCCTCGTCAAGACCCTCGAAGCGATCAAAGGCGGTTTCTTGGAAGATCTTGTTGCCAACATAAGTGTTGATAGCCAGCAACTTCACAGGCTGGTGGATATTCTCATCCACGAAGAGAACCCAAGTGTCAGGCATAAGACCAGTTTGATAGAGAGCCGTGTAGTTAGTGCCGGCCTCAGGGTCGACACCTTCAGGCCCCTTCTTAGACCATCTACTCATCTTAGCACCGTGGATGTCAGCGGTTCCCTCGTGGATCCAACCCTGCTCCTCGAGATCTGCAGTGTCCATACTAAGCAGGCGTTGAACGTAGCTGCTAGTTGGTGTATCGACAAGAACGACCGACTGGTGGTCGTACAGTTGCTCAACACGCGTGGACTCGAGGGCTTCCACTGTCATGATGAATTGGTAAGGGTAGTTAGGCAACGCCTTGATCGACACCTGGCCGTCCTTAGTGATGATGATATCCTCTCTGGTGGTCACAAAACCATCTTCCATTCCTGGGAGGGTGAGCCCGAAAGTCCCCATAGATTGGGAAACACCGCAAGGCGCCGGATTCCCATGAGCGTCTTTGAGGTCCTTGTTGCAGAAGTCCTTCGTGGTGACATGTACGCGCACGTTGTTCAACGGGCTGGGAGCGGCATATACGCCAAGTAAAGATACAATAAAGCCAGCAAGAAACATTGATAACGAGGTTGATAGAGAAACTTCAGTGGAATCATAAGTGTTACTACAAAACCAACGCTACACCATTTTCTGCGATGAAATGACATTGATCATCGTGCGGGACTCGTGTGAGCTGATAAAGACCCACGAAGGCTATTTAACAGAAATATGATATCATATGGAATCCATATTACGGATACTAAATACATTATCTTAACATTAGTTCTTAATATCTTGACACCGGTTCTACTCTATATTGTTACAGGGCCGGCCTCGTACAGCGCCCAGTGATAGTCCCAATGCTTTTTGAGTTTCCGCACACCCGCCCAAGCGTGGAAATCAACGCCAGACACGAAGTGCCACTTGTTGTACGCATGATCAAGAGTGTTGGCCGTAATGTCGAGGCTCACAGCGGCGTACGCGACCTTAGCACTTGCAGAAATGCCGATAACGCCGTATGCCGTAATGTCATTCTTGGGGGCGGCAGTGCAGTTAACCTTGGCGTTAACATCCCAGTCGATGAGGTCACCAACGTACGGCAAGTGGACCATGAAGTTGACGGTGATTGCAACCTCGCCCTCGATCGCACCATCTGGTCTCTTCTTAGCCGGGTCCTTGCTGGTCATGCATACAGATATTTTCAGATGGGTTCCATCGGGTTGACCATACTGGAACACGACCGCGCATCCGCCAGCATCGATGGTAAGGCTCAGCATACTATCCTCGTTCTTTTTCAAGGTCACTCCAATGGACAGATGAGCGACTTTACTGGCATCATGAATATCGATGAAGCTCATACCGGCCTTGAGAGTTACAGAAGGATCGAGGGAAGCGTCTAGAGAGACGAAAATACAGTATTTCTGTTCCTGCTTCCCACCAGCTGCGACACAACCGTTGGGGTACTCGAACTTGACGATCTCGGCAAGAGTGCGGTGAGCATGGAAATACTTGTCAGCAGCCGAGCCCTTCTCGATCGTGAAGTAGCTGATTCCCTTGAACCCTTCAGAAGACCTCAGTTTACGTTTGCTCATCCAGTCCATATCACGATCGTCCCAGAAGAACTGGCGGGTCTTTTCGGAAACGAACGGAGCATCGATCATATCACCATCCACATAAGGGGCATCAAGCTCGTTGCCACTGGTGAGCCGACGACCACCGTCAATCTGATAGTTGCTGTAAAGAGCATTCACGGCCTCAGCAACTGTGATACCATCCTCCAGAGATTCCACCTTATCGAAAGTGGATTCTTGGAATACCCTGTCGTTCAACAAGGTGTTGACGGTAAGAAGCTTTTTGGGTTTCTCGTTGTTCTCGTCAGTGTAGAGAATCCAAGCATCAGGCGCGAGACCAGTCTGGTAAATCGCGGTATAGTTGGCACCGGTGTTGGGATCGACTCCTTGAGGGCCGTATAGTATCCACTTATTCATAGAAGCATCGTCGGACTCTTGCAGGACCCAACCGTCATCGGCCAGAGTTTTCCCGAAGGCGGCACTTTGCTCGAGGGCGGCATCAGCGGGCGCTTCCACAGATACAACAAACGACTGGTGATTGTACAGTTTTTCAACCCCCTTGTAGTTGGGGGAGTCGATTGACATGACAAAAGTATACGGAATAGCAGGAGATGCTCGCACCGACACTTGGCCGTCCCTGGCGATGATCACATCCTCCTTGGTCGTTTGAAAACCATCTTCCATACCAGGCAAGGTGAGGCCGAACGTATCTCCGCTTTTCGAGGTACCACACGGCGCTGGGTTGCCATAGGCATCAACCAGCCCAAGGTTGCAGTACTTTTTGGTAGTAACGTGCATACGCACATTCCCCGCACCCAAGACGTAGTGAACGCCTATGAGGGGGAACAGCAGGCAGAAGATTTTCGAGCACATGGCGATAGAAAAGGTAAGAGGGACGAATAAACTGACATGTTACGATCTATGAGCGAGTTCTACGATCTAAGATGGACCCCAGTCGGTTATAGGTGGTCCGCAGAGGAGAGGTACAAGGTTGACAACTATCTTCCGCACCTTTCAGCATGCCGCACGCATGCACAACTACAAACTTCACGTGGAAGAGTGTGAGATCCCCGCGTCACCTCATTTGACTGACTTCTGAGCCTCGAATCCGGCTAAGAAGAGCTGGGGAGATCCCAATGAGCAAATGTGGTCTGTAGAAGCTTCCTGATGTGCAATGCCGGTCTCGCAATGGGACGGGAGGATCTTGGATTGGACGTCGGAGCGTTCAAGAACGCAAGCGCACTCGTTAACGACTCTTTAACGAATGCGCCTGCGTTACTTAGGACATAGTCTCGTTTTCAACGAGTCTACCAGTAACAGTGTGGGGAAACATGCACATGGCCAATTTTCATGTTCAGTGTTCTTCACAGTATGGAGCTTACACACAGAATCCGCGACTCTGTGTGTCACTAGTAGGTAAAGCCAGTTTTTGTTACTAAAAACCTCGTCACTTGGTGCCACTTCCCGCGAGGACGGCCCGACATTCACTCTTATTGCAAGAGGTAGGCAGGCTACGAGTGATGTTGTTATGATTAGATGTTGTGACTCACTCGGGAATGCCCACTATGAACACAAGACGATGAGGACTGCTAGTACGGTATCAGTCGAGACGGGACTGATGAATACGGTAGCAGTGTGCACAGAACTAGAATACACATGCGTACGCCAGTGGCGTAACGCCACAGCTAATATCGATCAGACACTTATATGTGCGTCGCTCCGCTGGACTCCACTACATTCCCCCTCCCTTGGGAGAGAGCTCCTACCGCGTTTGGAGCCATGGTAGTCCGAACGAGCATGGGCAAGAGTGTCGGGAAGAGGGTCGTCAGTCTGGAAGAGCTTGATATCCCGGCTATGAGTAGAAGCCTCGTGTCCAGTGACGTCAGCCTTGGTTATGAACACATTGGGACTCAATTGGCGAATGACGATAGCGGTATACCAGCGAAAGTCGAGTTTGGGGACTTGAGTAGGGCAACGTACTAATACTCGGGTCCCGGCGGGAATCGTCTTATCCGGTAGAGGATCGACAACACAGGACTCGACGTAGGAAAATCCACGACGACACTGTCGAGGTACATGCATACCCATAGAAGCAGGGAAGGTGTAGACCGTAGAGTGGGGACTGACGCCTCGGCGTTTAGTAACATTCCATGAGTAGACCGCATGCTGAATGAGGTCGCAGAAAGTAGTGTAGGACATGCCCTTGCCGGTGTGATGGGTACGGAGGTATTCATTAAGATACCGGTGTACTCGTTCAATGCGTCCATTAGATGGTGAAGAACCACGCGGGGTGAACAAATGAATTGCGTCCCACGATCGAACCAAATCGCCCATGGCAAGACTAGAGTATTGGGTACCATTGTCGGTATGGAGCATAAGGGGCAGGACGTGAAAGGTGTGGACAATAGATGTGAGCAGTGTACAAACGTCCTGGGAAGTGGGAGAATGTTGAGTGGGTCGAACCATCAGAAAGTTGGAGTAGCTGTCGATGGCGGAGATGAGATAGAAGCGAGTCGGCCCATCGACTGACCTGAGATAAGGACCTGCAATGTCACTGTGCAAGCGAACGAATGGGAATGGAGCTCGGGGGATAGAACTGCTTGGGAAGAGGGATTGACGGTCCCCTGGAAAGGACTTCCCACGGGTACAGGTGTCACAGGAGAAGTGGTTGATGGCGGTGGCTAAACCCGGAGCATCAATGTACTCCTGTAGCTGGTCCAAGAGAGCGGCATGACCTTCATGGTCATGAACCTTGGCTAGAAATTCCCCGAGTCGATCAGGCGGGAGTTTGACCTTCCCGTCAGAGATCGGAAATTGCTGGAGCCACTGACGGAGGCTGACTTCCTGCTCGAAGGAGCACGAACTCGGAGCTTGGATGGCAGTCACATCTACACAAGGGGTAGGATCAGTGCCAGAATATTCCTTGACGAGTCCTAGCAATTCGCGAGAGAGAGTTTGCGGGAGTCGAGAGGGCCCATCCGCGATGTTTGCGGAAGTAGGAACATGTTCAACCGTGAAGGCAATGTGATAGTTTGTGCATACATCGTGGATGAGCTGGATACGGCTCTCGATGGCATTCCGGAAAAGGCCATGGATCTTCGTCCAATGGCGACTCGTCGATCGACTGAGCCATGCCACCACGGACATATTGTCAGTACGAATCGTCAAGGAACAGCGGGCCATACAAAATGCCTGCATGTAATCGATTACAATCCCGAGTCCTCGTAGGACAGCCTCGACTTCGAGAATGTTGATATGACGCTTACAGTCTCGGTCTCGAAGCCAGGCACGGTCCTCACACAGGACGTCGCCCACGCATAGGACCGCAGCGCAGCCGATGGCGCTGGCATCCGTAAAGAGCACCCAGGGGTCTGAGGCAGTAACCGGCCATACTCCACCAACTGGATCACCATAGGTACGGATGTACTGTAGAACGTGAGAGTAAGCCGTACTAATGTTGGTCGGGATTGAATAGTCATAATGGCGAGTTGCAGCTGGGGCGGCCAAGGCAAGAATTCGGGTGAGCAGGGCACAGGTCAAACGTAACCAGCCACAAACGGGATAGTGTGCGGTGAGTTTACCAAGCAAAGAGGCTAGGGCTTTGCGGGTGGTAGGTAGTGTTGTTAGATCTATGGGTTTTTTCCGAGTCCAACGGCCTACCGGGGTGATGGTAACTCCTAGTACACTACTGCCGGCCAGCGTTTGTGGTGGTTTCGTACTTAGATCGTCCTGGGCCAGAGCTTTTTCTACGACAGCAAGATCACTCCGGTGGACGGCCACGTCATCGACATACTTTTTCACTGGAAAGTTAGTCGTAGTGGCATCCAAACAGTGTGTCATAGCCCGGTCCAGGGCTTTGCCTGCAATGTGAAGACCAAATCCGACCCTCGACAGCCTAAAAGTGTTCGGTTCAGGCCAGTCAGGGAATATGATGCCTTGCCAGTATTGTTGAGATTCTGCCACACGTAGCTTAAGATATGCTGTGGTCACATCGATTATGAACCAATCGTGTGGATCACATACACGCCACGAGCGTAGCTCGCCAAGGCAGGTGGTCGGTGGACCTTTTGAATGAGGGCAACTTGCAAGGAGATCGTTTAACCAGACATAATTTAAGACTGGACGTACTTTCGTGTGCTTGTCCATGCTTACATGAGGAAAGCATGTAAGAATGCCCTTCAGTTTAGAGCGATCAGTAGGGATCAAAAAGTTATTACGGACCCATGATTGCAACTGGTCATTATATATTTGTCGTTGTAAGTCGCTAAGCCTGCCCAAACTGTCTGGGAAGTACGGAGGTTTGGTTATGGGGAAAATCGGTTCCGTGCCAGATAACCATTTCCACTCGACTTCCCAACAGTGCAATGACTGGGGGGCATTTGATCGACGACGTAGAGTGAAATCAGGTTCCACAATGACGACATCAGCGGGCTGGCACCACAAAGTGGCCTCTAGACCAGACAATGATGCACTAGATTGTGGAGAAATGGTCCAGGGAGGGAATTTTCCGGGACGCACCGATAATGATGCATCAATTGCGGAGAGCCAGTCCATCCCAAGCATAACGTGAACATCCGATATTGATATATTATCACCAATATTTGGGAAAATAATATTTTTCGGAGTGATCATAATAGAAAGATCGTCGTTAACTGTCGTTTTTGGTTGTGAAATTCTCATTATTTTTGTCAAATATGTACATTTACTTCAAAGGGACGCAAGAGTGC